TCCTACCCTGGAGTCCCAGATCCTACCACACGTATCAGCTGACAGAGAACAGAAGCTCAGTAAGTGCGTTCCCATGTGTATTATATATTTCAAAGGACTTAAATGTATTTTCGATTGCATTCCTAGCAGCAAATTTCTAGATCACGTGCTCATTTTCAGTTTACCCTGCAGTTCCGTCGGATTGTTTTTTCTGTCAATTACGTTTTCAAATCGTTTGCCCATCTTTCTATTTGTCCTTTTCTTGTCCATCGGTAGTCCCTGGTGTTTATACAGCTTCTAAGCTGAGAGCGATTTGGCCCAAACCTGTTCTTTGCTTTTCGATCTTGTATCTTTAATTATTTTACGTGCTTACATGCTGGAGGGTGATCTGCAGAGGTTGTCTGAAAGTAGGTCTTGCATACCTTAGCCGAACGGCCACCCATGGTTTCACATGGGTCGACATGGTCAGAATCCATGTCAACCCTGTGCGGGATCCTGCTCCTCCCTCCTCTGGAAGGTTCCCGGGCTGTGCCCCTGGCTCAGCTTGGTGAGGCTTTGGGAGAACACCTAGAAAAGCGTGGCAGTGTTCCTGCCTCAGGGGTGCAGTGTGCGGGGGTATAGAAAGCCTATGCAGGCTGAAAACCACACCCCGTGGCCACTGGACGGAGGGTGGGGTGAGAGGCAGAAAAATGTGCCCATGGACAGCCGGCCACAGGTCAGCCTGTGGCCTGACAAGGCGAGAGACCAGCAGCAGGACTGTCTACCAGGAATACTGTGCAGAGGGCTCCCGCCCAGCCTGGAAGCACAAACCTCAGCCCTGTGGGGCCATAGGTGCTGGGGTGCAAGGAGGTGCAAGGAGGGGCGACAGGAGACATCACCTCGCCTCCCCTCCCCGCTGTCAGCAGAAACGGCCACGACTGACCGGTAGGCAGAGAAGCTTGCATTTAAATGCATTGAAATGTCCAATCAAAATAAGGTTAGACATAATTGGTACTTTTATTTTTTTTAAATAATACAATAGTTTATTTTGATATCATTTTGTGCATTTTTCCATCTCAGTTGTAATCCCCATGGGTTTCCCATGGAAGTATTCTTATGACTGAGAGTGACAGGAGGAATCTTTTAAAAAGTATTTTAAAGGGCCCAGATATAAAATAGGGTGTGGTACCGGCCTAGCAGGGATTCCTTCCAAGGGCGGGGAGGAACACAGCCCCTTGTGAGGGTCTAGTGCTGGGAGCTCCCGTCCTGGGTCTGTGCATGATCACGTGCACCTCTGCTGTGACGTGTTACACGCCTGGAGCGTGGCCTCTGCACACGTGACTGGGACAGGTACGACAGAGGCTGATTCAGCCTTAAAAAGCACAGCAACGCGACACTAGCTACAACACGGAGGACCTTGAGGCTACTATGCAGAGTGAAACAAGCAGTCACAGCAGGACAAACACTGAGTCCAGGTGTCTAGAATGTCAGCCTCAAAGACAGGGACTGGGGGCTGGGGAGTGGAGAGATGCTCACCGATGCGGAACCACAACTCCGTGAGATGAAAGCGTTTTGGAGGACGTGGTCCTAAAATTTGAATGTATTCACTACTGAGTGAGTAGCAAAATTTACATTATATGAATTTTAATACCATCGGAAATACAATCACCCTAACAGGCCCTCCCTGGTGGCGCAGAGGTTAAAGCACAGCACTGTGAAGCTACAGGCAGCCACAGCAGAGTCTGATCCCTGCCCAGGGAGTGACCCGCAGGGCGCAGCAGACTGCTCCTGTCTCCCCCTGCCCCCCTCAGCAGTGTGCTGCAGTCAGTCCTGTTCTGCTCCCCACTCTGTCTCTGGTCTCTCATCCTTCCCCACATACCTATGGCCTGCCCCCCAGCTCCTGTATGCATGAATACATCCTAAAAAGATAGCACCCGAATATAAGTACATGAAATAAAAAGTAAATTTATTCTTCACTTTTCTTTCAGCAACAATGACAACAAGGAGTGGCCACGTTTTACCATGTTAAATGCCATGCCAAGACCTGCCCAAGAGTCTCACTGAATCCTCATTTTGAACCCATGCAGCAAATGCCATTAAAAATCCTGTTATGGGCCCTCCCTGGTGGCGCAGCAGGTTAAAGCACAGCACTAAGAAACTAAAGCCACTTTAGCATGAGTTCGATCCCCGCCTGCCACGGAGGTGACCACATGGTGGGGCAGACCTCTCCTGACCCGCCCACTGCTCCTCTCAGTAGTGTACCTTGTCAATCGGCCTGTTCTACCCCCCACTCTGTCTCTGGTGAATCCTCTCACCGCCCCTGCACCTCTGGCCTGTACCCCATCTGTGTGCATAAATAAATAAATCTTAAAAAAAAAAAAAAAAGCCCTGTTATAATAAGGACATTGAGGCACAGAAGAATTAATTTCTGTCAGGTCATACAACTTCATTCTATTCTTCATTCTATTCTATTCTTCATTCTTCATTCAGGCAGATACTCTTCATTCTAGAGCAAACCCTTGAACCCCCCGGGAATGGTCAGATTTCGCAGTTACTAAACTCTCCCCACTTACAGCCTTAGAGGATCATCGGAATCACTAGCCTTCTCCCTGACACTGGCAGGGCTCTCTAGAGTTTACCAGGCATTTTCGCATTGATACTATGAATTGAAACACTGGTATATGTGTTGCCGAACCAAACATCACTTATTAAAACACTGGAATATTGGTGTGTATCAAAGGAGGACACTGAGCCCTAGCGCGGTTATTAGATTATTCACCAGTTAGGACCCCTCGACCACGTCTTCTCACTCTGGGTCCCTGGCAGCCCAACCACAGACAAGCTTCATCTCATCCACTTCTCATTTTTCAGGTGAGAATGCATATTCAAGAATGCTCAGAGAGGCTGATAGCTTCTCCAAAGTCATGCAGAGAGCTAGCAGGTCGACTGACATCACCAGCATTCACCTTTGAAGATAGTCACCCATGATACCAGTCTATAAATATGCATTTGACTAAGGCAGGAGTGGTGTGGAGGCAGAGCGCTGTCAGCACATACACACGTGCATTCTTTTGGAAACTTATTCGCAGAGCTGATGCAGAGACCACTTCACATCATCATCCCGCTTCCAGAGCCTGCCCTTACCTGGCCTTGTCCATTAGCGCTACAATTAAGCCGTGATCGACGGCCGCGAAGCCATTTAGGCAGCACGCCCAGCACTCACGCCGGGCTAGCAACACAGCAGCTGACAACACAGCGCTGTGCCACCATCGTGGAGCGGCCGCACAAATCCTCTGGTCCCGACAGCACATCTACAAGGATTGCCTCTGACTCAGTAACTCCGAGTGAGCTTGGGCTGATGCTAAGAGCGCAGGCAGTGTTCTCTTGCAGACCGAAGTTCTGCAGGAACTTTACTATTTTCTAAGTAAAATAACTTGTTTCTGGGCTCTCCCTGGTGGTGCAGTGGGTTAAAGCACCGCATATGAAGCTCTCCAAAGCCAATGCAGCACGAGTTTGATCCCCGGCCAGGGAGGTGACCCACATGGCGCGGCAGACCTCTCCCGACCCGCCCGCTGCTCCCCTCAGCAGTGTACTTTGTCGATCTGCCTGTTCTGATCCTCACTCTGTCTCTGGTGAAGCCTCTCACCGCCCCAGCACGTCTGGCCGTGCCCCAGTTCAGTATGCATTAATAAATAAGTCTTAAAAAATAACCCAATAACTTATTTCTGAGTTTGGCAGAAGGCTGCCCGCGTGTGAAAGAAGTTCTGTTGGGCTCGATCACAGACACGTGTGTGCTGAGTGGGAGTCACACACGGGACAAGTGAGCACCTGGCCGATACCTCTCACACCTTTCCACAAATGTGTGTTTCTCTGTCCCTTGTTTTCTCACAGCCCTAACATTGTGGGTGCAGGCCAGCACTGACCAACCAATGGCAGGGCCCCCTCCTCTCTTTCTGGCCAAAACACCCAACAAGAGCCAGGGAAGCAGGAGAGGCTGAAAGTGACAGGAAGTTTGAGATGCTGCCACTCAGATGCCCGGGCCTCTTGGGTGGGCCACAGAAACACGTTCAGTCTTGAGGAAGAGCAAACTGATTTGTTGGGGACCAAGACCAGGACCTTGCCTCCTATGCACAAAACAACACTTGATTGAACTTAGGGTAAATATCCCGGTTGAGAAAACAGCACACCCGAATCCCTTCTCCCACTCCTTTCTCCCTCGGAGCTCAGCAAGTTCCTGCACCTGAGAAAGGTTTTATCTCTGGCTCCTGAGATAAGTGTAGACTCCCTTAAGATGACGACGGCCCCCTCCCCTCAACCCCACTGGCCTTTGAGACATCAAACCATCGAGACCACCCCCCACCGGCACTAACTGCACCGCCCTCTTTGTATGCATATATATATATATATAGCTGTGCGACACCATAAAGCTCTCTCTCTCTCTGCTGCACGATCGATCGACTCTCTGCCTTCTCCTTTCGTCGACCCTGGGACCCCAATCCTCGGTCTTGCTGGTCAAGGTCCCCCACACTGATTTAATTTCAGAATACTAACAGTGTTGGTACTGCCGATAACGCTAACAGTAAGGGAAATTATCCACCCCTTTGTGTACTCCACAGGGTCTGTCTTGCTCACCGTGTATCCCCAGCTCTGACAGACACATCTTGACAGAGGTTCTCATTCAACACTGGCTGAATGAACAGTCTCATTTTGATTTCACAATCACTCTACACCTTGTCATAATATTGTTATCACCATTTTAAAGATGAGAAAATTGAGGTTCAGGTCATTAAAATGTGTTATTCAGCCAGCAAGTGTCAGTTTCTATTCAATCTGAGAAACAGACACGAAAATCTAGGGTTCAGCCACATCATTTCACTAGTTCAGCCCAGATGGCAGGACTTCACCAACCCTCAGCCCACCACGCAAGTGGGCCTTCGGAAGTATATCTCCGGTAAGCATGGATACCACGCTATTCCAGTCATCAGCTTTTACACTGCTTCAATACTATACTACAGGTAAGGTGGGGAGAAAAAATGACTCACCTACAAATCCTTCTTCACCAACCAATTTTAAGGCAATTTTGTCAGCCAGCACGGAGGAGTTGCCATGGGCGATGTTGGCGAAGGGGCCGGCATGCACGAACACGGGCGTCCCCTGTGGGAGCAGAGAGGCAGCTCAAAACCCAGAGCAAGCGAGGAAAGTAAACCGAGCTCGGGTAGGGGCAGTATGGAGGGGCAGACTCCCCCAAACCACTCCCCCTTTATTAACACTTGCAGATGAACTCACAATTCTCTCTAAAGAATATTAAAACAGGGGGAGGCCTCCATGGTGGCCTAGGGGATAGTCTCAGCATTATCACCCCAGGGCCCGAGTCAGTCCCCGGCCAGGAGCTAACCCACATGGTGCAGACGACCTGTCCTGTTTCGCCCACTGCTCCCCTTCAGTGGGTCTGCCTGTTCTGCTCCCCAATCTGTCTCTGGTGAGTCCTTTCACCCCCTGCATCCCATTTCTCTCTCTCTCACACACACACACCACAAAGAACAAAGAATATTAGACACTCTCCCAGAAAGGACCAAATTCCTTATATATTCTGTAACAGTGTTATATTCTATCTTTAATGCTAAACCAAAGAGAAAAGCTACACAAATCAGGTATTTCCTACTGTTTTGATAAGGTGCCTTAGGGAGCCTTGAAATGAATAATTTACCTTATTTTATATTACTTTGACTTTATTTTTAAAGATAACAGAATTAGATACTGATGGTCTAGAGGCTTACTCAAATGATTTTTTATCCCATTAAGAAAGGAATCACTTTGAGAAAAATCCAAAGTAAGCAAAAAAAAAAAAAAAAAAAAAATCAGCACAAGATGAGTTATGGGAGTCATAGCAGGGAATGGCATAATTTAAGTTTATGACAGACATTTTTATGTGTATTATAATAAACTTGTTATTCTGACTTAAAAAAATTCTTTTCAAGTCTTTCTATGGCTACATTATCTTGGGTGTTAACAATCTGGTCACTACTAAATCAACAAAAGCAAAGGACTATTTCCCTCATGGTAAAATGTCAGAGCAATTGTTACTAGAAAGACAAAACAAAACAAGAAGGGAATTAGCAAAAACTTCAGATTTTAATTCTTTAAGGAAATAAGATTCGCCTCTGCACTCACCCTAATGCCAACTGTATACCTGCTCTGTTCCTGTGTCACCAAGAAGAGACTGTGGCCCAGCTGTAAGAACTGATCGACATGCACTAAAACTCCCAGGCTTTATTCAGAGGCCAGCCAGGGCCACGAGGGTCTGTGTACGAAACCCCGGCTCCACCTGTGAAAATACAGGCAGCCCTTTTGCTGACATGGAGAAAGATGGGGAATGAAAAGGGGGGGGGGGGGGGGGGAGCCATGGAAAGTTCCCTCAAACCATGATGGGCTGTGAGAAACATGACTCAAAGGGAAAGTTGAACAAAAGCAGGAAGTAAGGAAGTGAAAGGAAAATCATCTGAGAGTGAAAAAGACAGAGCTTATTATCCAAGCTACTCTGTTTCCTCCCCACAAGTCCTCAGGAGGGAGAAAAAGTGGGTCTCGCTAAGGTCACACAAATGTAATAGAAATGAAGCTGGGAATCTGAGGGCCTAACGTGTGCTTACGTGTATGTACACATGTTAAGTGTATGCGGCGGATCTAGACCTTCACCTGTGTGCTAACTGTGGCCTCTCACTTCCACCAGACAAACCTTTCCATCACTCTAAAGAGAGTATCTCGGCGCTCCCTGTTGGTGCAAGGGGTTAGGACGCAGCACTGCAAGCTGACAGCCGCTTCAGTGTAAGTTCGATCCCTGCCCCAGAGGGCAGACCTCTCCTGACCAGCCCGCTGCTCCTCTCAGCAGTGTATTTCGTCAGTTAGTCGGCCTATTCTGCTCCCCACTCTGACTTTGGTGAATCCTCTTACCGCCCCTGCACCTCTGGCCTGTACCCCAGTTCTTTATGCATAAATAAAGAGATCTTTTAAAAGAAGAGAATAATATCTCAGAGACACACCAGTCTCCATCGCTGGTTAACATTGACAGTGCCAAACTATGGCTGCCTGGCAAAGAAGCAGAGTCAGGGTGATTTAACCGGGTCAAGGTCACAGCCCCATCCCTGGGCTGGCCATCTGACTGAGAAGGGCTGGGCACTGGCCTCCAGAGGGGACAGGTATGGCCAGACCAGCACAGGTTGTCCGGAGACCAGTAATTCTCAAATCTGGTTGCACGTTAGAATTTCTAGAAAGACTTAAAGATACAGATGCTGTGCTGGCGAGAACCACCATCAGCACTAGGTCAGCAGCATGTGAACTTAACACTGCAGTCCCACACAGGCAGAACACCACAGCAGTACCAGAGCCCTGGCTTGGGAATACCCGGCTTGAGTCTGAATAGAAAAATTCTTAGGACACCATTACTAGACATTCAAACACAGACACCCAGCTCCAACATTCAACTGCCGTTCCTGGAGTAGGACACCGAAGGAGGGGGAGGGACCTGAAAACTTGGCCTAGAAAAGCCATGACTCATCGGAAGACCTAAGAATAGCGACCTGGAGGTTGGGATTTTATTTCAGTTGCAGAACACTTAGAGTAATGCAGGGACTATCTCGGAAGCTCACGAGGACCAAACCATGTGTTCACCACGATGAGTTTTCAAAGACTTCCAATTAGCTTTGCTTACTAGAGTTCTAAAGGAGCTTTCTGCAGCACTTGAACCAGTCAATATCTGCACTGTCCAATAAGCATACGCATAAGTGACCACTGAATTTCACTAGTTCAGCCCAGATGGCAGGACTTCAC